AAGACATGCTTGTGTGGCCTGTAACAGCGAGACAGTGAGAAAAAGTTGCATCACCCTTGTTGGTAGTGATCTTTGAACTGTGTATTTTCATGCATTAAGTCATCAGAGGTAAGATACAAATGAAAAAATGTCAATGCCCATAGTGCCACTAAGTTTGCTGCTTTCTTCCATCGTTATTATGTACGTTTTAGATGTCCGATTATAATTTGTCATCTTGATTGGCTTTTTGCTTGTCGAGAGCGGATGCATGCTTTATAGGGAAGTGTTATATTGGGTTTGTGTTGGGTTTATGTTAACCTGTGCTCTTGTTAATATGTGCGTAATTGTTCTATCTTGATTGGGAAAAATATGTGTTCATAGCAGTGCTACCAATGTGGGAGGTAGGGACCCACTAAACTTTTGTGCCCAGAGGCTTATAATTTGATAATCTGGGCCTGCTAAAGACCTATAAAAGGCATATATTACACATCCTTTTGACCTGAGTATCACACTTGCACCAGTATACATGGTCCACCACAGCCATATATTGTAAGATCATTCTAGCTTATTAGCATTTAATGAACTGGCTCATTCAGGGAATCACTCTGGGGCACTCTTGCCTTTCACGACCTTCTGGTTTTTGTCCGAGAGAGAAGAAAGTAAGTGGACTGTGTGGGGATATAGTTGCAGGGCATGATGGTGTGTCTATTCCAGGGTGGCGTGTTGAGAAGCCCATGGCTTCTTCTCTTCACCCTGCCTCACAGCCTAATGTTCAATGCACTTAAATTCTCTCTTCTCCCGCTGTGAGCCAGTGCATCAGATATGTTACATTACCCACTATGCATAATGGATTAGCAATAAATCTATTTCTGTAACGGGGCTACGTCTCCTGCATTATGTCTCTGCGGTCTTTATTAGTGAATACCAATGATTCTGTGCAGAGATAGGGAGAGGGAGAGAGATAGAGAGAGGGAGAGAGAGACAGAGAAAGAGAGGTAAAGAGGGTGAGATAGAGAGCTAAAACGGGTGAGAGAGGAGTGGAGAGGATTTTATGAGATGAACAGAGACATCAGAATAGTGTTTTATTGTTCTGTATCACTCCACATTGAGTTTATGTCTAGATGTTTTTATTTGTTGTGTCTAGATATGACTTTTTGTTTTGCTTCACAATTTGTATTAATGCTGTTGCTGTAGTTGTTTCTGCCATTGTGTCTTAAGTAACTCATAACTCAAAACATGGGCGCTTTAGGTTTCTAGGCAATGTCAAAGCACAAAGTAAATCTAAGCTTCAGGCTCACAGAACAAATACAGCATAGATCAATTTCAGTGTCTTGTTCATTAAGAACTGAGAGTATTGACAGTATTTGAAGGTTTGCAAAGGTGAAAAAATACAACATTATAACAGTATTGTTTGCTCCATCAATAAAAATGTCTACAGAAAATAATCTGTGCCTGTTTGGTGGACAAGTGACAAATGAATCATCTATATTGTTCTTTATATAAGACCACACATTCCATGGCAATCATTCTGGGGGTTCAGGTGAAAGTCCAGCACTATCTGTAAAGGTTACTATTTGTCACAGATGACTGTGTCGTGGCAAACAATTCTGTTCCTTTTTTGTGGAAAATGATTTTTTTCAGTCGATGGAATTTTTTTAAAGCACAAACTGCCCCATACATCGTGATAGCCTGGAGAGAAGACCACCTGTAGTGTGTTGTTTTCCTGAGTGACAGATGATGCCCAGCTGCATCTACAACTGAGGTCATTCCAGCTCATTGGAGCAGGCCTCATAGCACATTTACTTCACTGTCTATCTATCTATCTATCTATCTATCTATGTATCTATCTATCTATCTATCTGTCTATCTATCTATCCATCCATCCATCTATCCATCCATCCATCCATCCATCCATATATCCTTCCATCTTTTGGGGTTTTAATATACACATATTAGTATTGGGAGGGGGGTTGTGAAACAGTATGAGCCATGCTGTTCTTTACATCTCATGATTCTTAAAAGAGACAACTTGGAAAATAAGAATGATTTTGTTTTTAAATGTATTTGTCTGCTAAGAAAATCAATTGTTTGTGTTAATTCAGCAAGTGCAAAACATGTCTTCACTTTCCCAGCACAAACATATCATGTTGATGCCTGGATTTCTAAATTATATTTCAATTTCTGTTTTATAGCCTGTCACATAGCATCGCTGTCCAAGAAAAAAAACATGTATCTCCATTTTTTTGTTTATTTTTCCACATCATTGCACACAGCAGCTGTGTGTATGTTACTGATTTATTTATTTATTTATTTATTTATTTATTTATTTATGTATTTATTTATTTATCATTGGACAGTGACAATAAGGCCTAATACAGAAGCATAATATTAATGGCTTAGAAGGAGAAACAATTAAGTCCTTCAGGACTTGGCATGAGCACTGAGCGTGACGAACTTACTTAGGCCTCATGATGAACAAGTATGAGAAGAATATCCTTGTCCAACACCCACAAGCGTGCACACACACACACGCGCGCACACAAACACACTGTGATGCACAGTTACGTGCATGAGCATGCATGCAAACACAATCATTACACATAAGTATACATGTTCGCACTGCAGGGTGGTGAGCAGATAACAGCTTGTGTACAGATGAAGCTGAAATGCAGAAGCAGGTGGGGACGTTTCTCACAGGCATGTGTGTTTGCCTGTTAGTGCTGCCATCTGTTTTAGCACCTCATGCAGGAAGAAGCATGCAGAGGGTCCCACCTCACCATCCTTCTCATCACTGCTTATCTCAAGGCCCTTCCATATGGAGAGTAATTAAATCAAAGCAATCTACTTAAGTGGCCATTGTTCAGTTTGGCATGCTGCAAAGAAACTGTTGAGTTTTAAAATCTCAGTGCATGATTGATCAAGTAAGCTCATTCTTCACTGGCAATAGTGTAAAATTTGCCAAAGATGTGGTATTTTATATGAGTCTGTAGATATTTAAGTGCCTCATACATGTAACATCTGTCTTACTGGAGTGATTTATAAGAGTTAATGTCATTTCTTGGCAGATGACTTCATGAATATATCTTTGTAGCAAACATGCAGAGTAGTTTGGTTAAATTCACTGAAAAAGTGATGCATGGAATTTGCAAATTTTGCATTTGAGTTTATTTACTTCTGGCAATAATTGTGTTGCTGTAATATCATATTCAATATATTTTCAGTGTTGAGATGTACCAAAGGTCAAATTTTGAGCGATTTATTGCACACAGCAAAAATGCTGTGTTAAATTAAAACCTACAGTATTGAATGAATTTTTAGTGGTCATTTAGGCCTATCTGGGCTTAGATATAACACTGCAATACAGTGTTAATTCAGCAGTGGTGTTTATAACATGACGATTTTGCAGCGCCTTCAGAGCTACAGAGGAGAACTGAAGGAAAGCAGGAAGGAGGGAAGAAGGGAAGGAAGGATGTGAGTCTATTCATTTGCTAATCGCTGTCACTTCAGCTTGTCAGCTTACTGTAATTGCAGAGCATGAAGCGCATGAATAGGGAACACAGCTCAATGACTCATAGATATTGGTCTTCTTTTGTGCCTTTTCAAGTCTCTGATAATCTCTGTCAGAGTGAAGTCCACTAAACAAACATCTTTTTCTTTCACATTTACACATCTTTTATGCCATCACTTTGCACTGCTATTGTCTTGCTCACTGTAAACTGTCTGTGTGGCTGTCTGTCTGTCTGTCTGTCTCTCTCAGAAGCAGCAGCAGTAATGAAACGTGGCCAGTCTTCTCACTGCTCTGTTAATTACTTCTCTATTTATTTAGCGGTTGTGCTGTGGTGGTGGTGGGGGCTCGGGGGATTGTCTAATGCTTGTGTTAAATAGCCCGCATTCCGATCCTCTGATGCCCAGCCTAACACCATCCCCGTTTTCATCTCCACAGCCCAGCAAATTAGCGCCCAACTGACTTCCTCCGTGTGTGCGCGCATGAGAGCAAGAGGAGATCATCCTATAACAAATATTGTAACCACTGAGAAATCAGTTTCTTTTGGTGCCTTGTGACTATACTGTGATGGTAGTGTCTTTCTTTGCTTGTGAACTGAAACAATGTCACTTAGTTCTCCTAAAGGACTTTAAAGGACTTTAGAACACTGTAAATGAGTAAGAACATTACAAAACCTTCTGGAACGATGTGAATGTGGAAGAACATTCTAGAACAGTGTAAATTGTGGAAGGACATTCCAGAACACCCCAACAATCTCACCCGGGTATGGCACACCAACCAAAACGTTTGGCGCTTGTTGGAGAACGTTTGAACGTTTGATCAGGGACACAGCAAAGACCGATCTGCTGTGCCCTTGAATGCTGGCATGCACCAACTGCATGGAGGTCCTCCCCTCAGCCAGTGGTCCCCCGCCACAAAAGCAGCAGGTTCACAAGGTCAAAGAGGCGGATCCCGCTTTATGAATACGGATTTGCTGTGGTGATGGAAGCGGCCCATCCTTGCTGTTCTAGGATCAGCTGTTGTCCTGGAGTTTACTTTAGCTGCCTTGGAAAGAAACCTGCATGGGGGCAAATCTGATCCAAATGCAGCACTGAGGTGGAACATTTTCCTGAATGAGAGCCTCTCACTCCATGACATCTGAAAAAAAAAAATACGGAATAAGACGTGAACGAAATGTGGACACAAACCCTTACACTGTGTTCGGCTTTCGTTTCCTTTCTCCTTCACTTTAGAGCTGGACGACATTACATTGGTTTTCATTTCATTTCATCATGTTAAAGTATCTAAAATATTATTAAAGCTCCTCAACAGAGTTCACAAGTTTAGAAGCTTGTTAATGCACCAGTCTGTAGCTTCTCTAATCCTCCGTTTACTGTTTCCTCACAAAACAGTACAAAAAGTCAGCAAAAACAAAACACAAGTCACGAGAGAGAGAGAGAGATAGGGAGAGAGAGAGACGGTGTAGAAGTTTTCTCCTCCCATTCTCTCATGCCTGTGCAGAGCTTCACTATGTGCTGTGGTCATGTGACTATCGCAGAGCAGCAGCAGCACTGTGGCGGAGCGCGAGCCATCCGAGAGAGAGAGAGGGAGAGAGAGGGAGAGAGAGGCAGAAGTTCAGCCTCAGTATCTCTATCGGCGCTTCTCACACACTGAGCCTATACAGACCTCGCGCGCACGCTGGTGGTCTCGAATGGACTGGACTCGGCGTTAGTGAGGGCGAAACTAAACCAAGCTCAGCGGGCATGCCGGAGTTCCGACAGTTAGCGGAGTTTTTTTGACCTTCGCCGACGAAGTAAGAGATTTATTTCCTTGCTCTCATTGTAATTCACAACAGCGCGTGTTCGTTTGAAGCCTAATCAGCAGATGGTGGTTCATAAATCAGTGCGGCGAGAGTGTTTCTGAGGAAAGAAGCCCTCGTTGACTGGAAGCAGGAGTTTGACCGACCGCACTGCTGTGGAGAGACGGAGAGAGAGACACACGCACTCACAGAGAGAGAGAGAGCTCTGAAATAACTGAGGGAATTAGTGGCCAAGCTGTGCTATTCTCCCTCCTCACATCTGCTTTTCGAGGTTTTTAGGTAGTCTTTTAAATATGGTGGGGGAAATGGAAACGAAGGAGAAGCCCAAGCCCACTCCTGACTATCTGATGCAGCTCATGAACGACAAGAAGCTGATGAGCAGCCTGCCCAACTTCTGCGGGATTTTCAACCACCTAGAGCGGCTACTGGACGAAGGTAAACGCTTTTCTGTGGCCTCAGCCTCAAATAATGCACTGCAACTTTCTTCGTGTAATACGAGCACATTTGTGTGAAACTTTGGTAACTCCAGCTGATGTTCGCTGTGGGTTTTTTACTTTTTCCCCCCATCATTTTGTCGAGGTGCTTTAACTACTTTCTTCTTTTTCACTGCCCTGAATAATTTAGCAGAGGCCCCCATCTCACACACATCGTGCTGGATGCGGGCGTGTTAGATCCATTTTCTCAGATCACAAGAGGCAACTCCCCAGAACTGCCTTGTAAACTTTGGCCTGATTTAAGTAACGGCAGTTTTTGGTAGCTCAGTAAAAACACCACTACGGCTAGAACAGGGGGAACCGACTTAAGTCTTCTTTTACTAATCCTCCGAGGGTGTAAATCAAGGTGGCCCATGCTGGCTACGATGAGGAGCTCCCTGCGATGGCAGTATGTGAAGAATGTGTGAGGGCGGTGTTGCTGTTTGGGAGCGTTTTAGAGCTTCCAACCAGAAACTTCTGCGCCTGCGCCCTACCAGTCGCCAGGGGGCTCTAGTCAGTTCAGATGAAGGGCGTGGAGCTTGTGGGCCCCTCACATCACCCCTACAGCTCTACGGAGAAAAGGGGGAGCTCGGAGAGGAAGATGTTAGGCTAGTTCAAAAGTTGGTGGTCTCATATTGTGGCTGTGTGTTATTTTTGTGAGTTAAGTGTACTTGGCCAACTTTAAGCATGGGAATGTAGATCACCCAGATTTTACATGCAGACTGCATGAATGTGAATAGTTCAAAGAGCCCATATTCTACATTTTTCTTGTACTTTATTCATAACAGTGGTGTGGGTTCATATACCAAATAGCCATCTTTCATTTTTACATGACCATTTTCAACTTTTCTTTATGCCTTGTTTTTGCTACTTTGCCTTTAAGCCTGATATATGTACATGGCCTCTGTCTGGGTGGGCTGTCATGTATTGTGCCTCATCAAAAAGTAGTCTGGGTTAAAACACTTGTTATAACTTCAGTGTGAATGGGTGGGCTAAACGGCTGTAGGCTGAATAGACAGATACAGTTTACAAAAGTATTTGGACAATTTAACCATTGGTAAAGTTCTTTTGGTTCCTTTATAAAACTACTTTTTAGCACAACATCGAACTGATGGTGGACTATTTGTGTGGAATTGCATCCGTTAAGAGAACTGTAAAGCACAAGAGGTGGAAACGTCGAAGTCTGGGGCTTGTTTTCTTACAATGGGGTTGGTGAGCTTGTGTTCATTGATTTGCTTCATGAACTCAGAACTATACAAAGACATTTTGGATGCAAACCTGCAGAAGTCTGCTGATAAAATGCTCAGATGACAGTGATCTGGAACACACCAGCTACATTTTGAAAGAATACTTTGGCAGAAAGAAAATTAAAGTCTCAGAACGGTCTGTTTATAATAAATGTAAGTTGCTTTGACATTTTGTTTCAAACCACAATGACCATAATACATTTTTAGGGATGGCACAAACGTCCAAATACTTTATGGGGCCACTGTATATGTGAATGTATTGGCACTGGTTTTTGTGACATCACATAAGCAATTAGTCCAAAATGTGATGCTTTTTGCAGGTTGATTTCTGTATATTGACTGTACAGACTGGGATCATGATCATACATTTTTTACAATGTTTACATATTAAGTCAGAATCTTATTTAAAACATTAGTTTTCAGTGATTTGGGCCCTTTAAAAGTCATTGTCACATTACTTTGCCTGAATGCAGCTTTACCGTTTTAGTCAGTGCTGAGGAGACTAAACGTTTAAGAGTAGATCTGTCCATTTCCCTTTCTTGCACGTGCTGAACATACATAGCTCCTGGCCCTGGCTTAGCTCCTTCTCAGTTCATTGCTGAAGTTAATGTCTCATAAACAGTACCTCTGTATGCCTAGAGAGAATGGAGTTTTGGCTGATGTATGTTTTCAGGGTTGGTCAGAAGGGTTGGAGTCTATTCAGACAGGCTGACTATTTTTTACCACCTCACAGATTGTGCCATACTGAAGTGGTCAGATAAAACTGTGTGTGTCACAAATAACTTTACTAAGCTTGTGTTTTCACTTCCCGTATTTGAGTCTAGTTTTAGGCTGCTTGCAACACTGAGCAGAGGGAACTGGAGGATGAAATGAGACGAAGCTCTTTAGGGGTGAATTTAAAGTGTAAAGTGAATTTAAAGTGGTCTGTAAATAAGCAAACAGAGCAGCATTCTTGAACCTGTTCTTCACTCACACACAAGGCTTGTAACCAAAGGCAACTTAGGACTTCGCATGCTGTTATTTGAGTCAACATTTTGTGTCTTAGGATTCTCTTTTTTGTTAGTTTAAATGTTTTTCCATTTGTGCATTCAGTTTTATACCTTTAAGGTCCATATACATTACTAGCTTTTCATGTAACATAAATTTAAAGTTATTTTTGGAAAAATATACTTTTGACATTCTGTTGTAGCTCTTAGAATTTATAGTGTCTTGCTATAAAGAATAGTCTTTATATTGCTCTGAAGACCAAGCATAGACTTACCAGCATTGGGCAGATCTATATCATTCTGTTGAATAAAGAAGCTGAGTAGGAATAATGCTTTTGTAGATGTTTTACATTTGTCATTGTTGATTATTTGGCAGTTCAGGGCAGAAAGAATGTCCCTTGTGCATAGACTGTGTGTTTTGTGTGCATGTATTTGTGTTCTCTCGTAGGAACACACATTCTGCCTTTATGCAGCTAATTGAATTATCTGAGTAATTAAGCCAGTGGGGAACCAAATATCTGGGACAGAATCCAGAGCCATGTCAAACCTGTGCATGGAAGCCCTGCCTTATCTGTCTGATTCAGATAACATGGAGGGCCTCAGGGCTGCATGCTGACCAAGCACCCCCAGAAGGCCTCACTATTAGCATTAGTTTCAACACAACTAGCTGACATCTGGACAGACTCAAGAAATTTCAGAGCCAAATGCTTAATATAAAACAAAATTGTTGACAGAGTTTGGTGAGATTAATTATGGATGGTATTGGTGTATTGTTTAGACATTTTAGTTCACATACAGACAATAATCTTTTTGCTAAAGGGCCCATATCATGGAAAATGTCCTCACATTTTTTACATAGAGGTGTTTGATATAATATATAAGCACTGTTAAAGTTTCACTCCTTAGTCCAGAGTTCATATATAGAAATGAAGCTGCAAAATCAGCCTGTTTTGAATTCAGTTTTTTCATAGATCTGCCTATTAAGCCTACAGCAGTTTAGCCCCTCTCATTCATGCTGAAGTTATAAGGAGTGTTTCAGCCTGTACTGCTCTTTCAGTAAGACACAATACAGGGCAGCCATTCAGAACAAAGGTCATTCACATATATTAGTCTTAAAGGCACAGTAACAAAAACAGCCTGTTTTAAATGTAAGAGATAAATAGAAGTTGGAAAATGTCAAAGCATTTTTACATAACCAGCTTTTGGTATATAAACCCATACAAACATCACAAATAAAATACAACATATTAACATTGCCTACTCACAATCAAATGAGATCTGTATCTGACCAAGTTCTTCTGCATGTAATTAGCACTTGTTGATCCAATTTCAGCCTATACACCCCCTTCCAGCCCATCTATGAGTCTGTGCAGACACTGCCTTGTATTTTTATAACATAAATAAGGCTATTTACATGACTCATTTATATAGACATGAAGAATGCAGATTCTGTTCTGCTATGCTAACTCTTCCTCTGCAACAGGTGATGTGATTAGTTTCTTGTTACTATTTTAACTTCTTATTGCCCCAGTGAGTTTCACATAGGATATGAATTCACTCCCTCACAGTGTGCCTCAGCACGCTCTAGCCATTGCTGCAGCTGAAAGGCTGACATGTCTGAAGTTTTCCAAAGCAATTCGTATAAATATGAAATGAAAAGCAACCTTATAAGTATCAGTGTATTTCTCAAATTACTTTTTTCCTATAGTTCACAGCGTTCATGAACTCTCCGAGGCTGTGATGAGAGTTGTCTAATTTTAGATCAGTGCCAGGGTGTGTTTACACATGCACCCGTATTATTTTTAAAGACTAGTCTTAGCTGCCTTGCTTAGAAACCTTGGAAATATATGCTGATACTTAAGCAGCCACTGAAGTGTAGGTTAGTGTTCGAAGCACTGGTCTAGATCATGCTGATATCATTTGAAAGCTCAGGGTATTGCTTTTACTCAAAGCAGCAGGTCCTTCTTCAGTCACTGGACCTGGGAGCACTTCTAATCTATTTTGGGACTGCTTGTAATCTATTTCTGAATGGCCTCTGATAAACAAAGTGAAATGTGAGCCTGTCTCTAATGTTTTGACCTTTGATTGTCCTGACATGTCCCCTCGGTTAAGCAGTGCTCTATCAGGTGTCTGTATTTCTTTGGTAACCCAGTCTGTACCTAGTCTGACATGACTGACCAAGACCCCACCCTCTGGCTCGAACACATCATATGATCACCGTGAGGATACACACACAGAGTTGGTGACAGATCCCATAATTCATCTATCAGCACACTATTACTATTAGAGGTGCTGGATGTGCCAGAGAGAGAGAGGAAGGGGGACGCAGAGAACTGTACATGGGTGGGAAGAGTCAGTTCCAGTGAACCATGGCCCTGTTTTATTGCTGTCAGCATGCCTTCGTCCACTTCCCCTGATCACTCTTGTGACAGATCCCACTCCCACTGTCACAAGAGTGGTCATTTGCAGGACAGGGAAACCGCAGATGTTTAAACAATTAAAATTTAAATTAGCATGGGTGACCAATTGTGCACCAGTGCCAATATTTGATATTTTACATGTACATCTCTGCTGATGCTATTACAGCTGCATAAACGTACATGTACATGTAATACATAAACATTTAATAAAATGTAGAAACTGGGACTAGAATCCCCCAGATTAGCATTACAATAAAAAAAATTACAGTATTTTTTTCTATAGGATTGCAAAAAAGCTTCCAAAATACT